ATTAATTTTCTCGAGGGTTTTCGTTTTGGCATCTGTTTACTATTTAAGTGAACTGTACTTGCAAATACTAAAAAACCGGACCAGGTCGCTACCAAGATTCATAGCAGTAAAAATGATCTAAAACTCTAAAATGTGAGGGTGAAGGTTCCCCTCTAAAAGTGATGTGATGATAACAATAATTAACTTCCCGATTGCTGGCTCTTCTAAGTTTTTCGGTTTCGGAAGTAATGTACGGGGAGAATGGAAACAAGATAATAAGAACCATACTTACAAGCGTTTATCCGGAACGTTGTTTTCACCAACAATACCGTCTATCTTAATCTGTACTATTATTTTATGCAATTATAAGTTTAACAAACACCTACCACTAGCTATCTGTCAAAAATCAGCTGTGTGTGAATGGACATAGAACAGGTGCTCGCGATTATTAGAGTACTCCTAGATATCTTTCTCGCTCGCGGCACTCAGTACTAATATCAATGTTTACTTAATCCCAAACATTCCCCCACATCTGAAAGATTGTTTCAGAACCGAGGAACAAAATGAAACCAAATATCTGTGCCTTTCTAAAAAAAAAAAAAATATGTATATGTACATACATGATGATTTACGTAGGCCGTGCATTAGAAGTTTTTCAACTTGAAATTGGATTAGAAACTTGAAATTTGGTGTGCCATCATAATCGATCATGTCCGTTCTACCCAAAATATTTTTAGTCCTCCAGCTATACAGGGCGGGTCAAAAGTCGTTATCAACTTTCTTATTTTAAATAGAAACCAACATATTTTTTCAGATGGTTCGATTGCCGATTGGCCTTCTAATTCTGAATTTAGACAACCTAAGTTATGCTAACTTATCTATTATAGTTTTTGACATATGTCGATTTTTCTGAAAAAAAATTACCGCCGTAGTAGTTTACGAAAAAATTTGTATCTCGCAAACCGTTCAAAATTGTGAAACCAAATATATGAAGCAGTTAGCTGGAAATCCACATTAACTCCTGATGGCCCCATTTTGTACCATATGGGTGCAGGCGATTTTTTAAATGTCGTATTCGAAAATTGTCAAAAACAAAATTTTTTTGACACCTTTCGAAAGAAAATTGAATTTTAGGGTGAGTTACTTAAGCATTCTCTATACCTAACTTCAACCTCTATCGAGTTATTTAATAAAAATCAAAAAATGCCAAGATATTCCTTGATTTTTCAAGTATGCCATGGAAACAAAAGACAATTGTAATTAAGAAGGTGACATTCTGTCAAAATGAAAACGAGTTGTGCTAATTCTTAAATAAAATTGATTCTAAAATGGAAAATTTTCCAAACGAAGTTGTGTTAGACTTGTTTGTAATCCATGGCACGTGTCCCAAAAAAAACCCCGCCCCCCCCCCGCGGGGGAGCCCAAAAAAACCCCCCCCCCCCCCCCCCCGCCCGGGGGAAAACCCCCCCCCGCGGCAAAAAAATTTAAAAAATGGGGGGGGGGGGGGCCCCCCCCCCCCCGCGCAAAAAAAACCCCCCCCCCCCCGGCAAAAACACAACCCCCCCCCCCCCCCCTTTCCCCCCCCCCCCCCCCCCCCCCCCCCCCCCGGCCCCTTTGGGTTGGGGGTTTTTCCCCCCCCCCCCCCCCCCCCCCCCCCCCCCCCCCCCCCCCCCCCCCCCCTCCCTCCCCCCCCCCCCCACCCCCCCCCCCGCGCCCCCCCCCCCCGGGGGGTCCCCCCCCGGCGTTTTTTTTTCCCCCCCCCACCCCCCCCCCCCCCCCCCCCCCCCCCCCCCCCCTTTGTCGCCTCGGGCCCGCCCTTTTCCCCGGGGGGGGGTCCCGGGGGGGCGCGCCCCCTTTTGGCCTTCTCCCCCCCCCCCCCCCCGCCCGCGGGGGGGGCCCCCCCCTTCCCTTCTCTTTTGGTTTTTTTTTTTTTGTTGTCCCCCGGGGGCCGCCCCTTTTTTTTTCCCCCCCCCCTCCCCCGCCCCCCGCCCCCCCCTCCCCCCCCGCCGGCCCCCCCCCCCCCCCCCTGTCTCCCCGGGGGCGTCGCCTGCCCCCCGCCCCCCCCCGCGGGGGGGCCCCCCCCCCCCCCCCCCCCCCCCGCCGCCCCCCCCCCCCCCCCCCCCCTTCCTCCCCCCGTTTTGGTTTTTGGGGGGCCCCCCCCCGGCCCCTCCCCCCCCCCCCCCCCCCCCCCCCTTTTTTTTGTTGGGGGGGTTGTTTTGTTTTTCCTCCTCCCCCCCCCCCCCCCCCCTGTTTTGTTGTTTTTTTTTCCCCCCCCCCCTCCCCCCCCCCCCCCCCCCCCCCCCCCCCCCCCCCCTCCCCCCCTTTTTTTTTTTTTTTTTTTTGTGTGTTTCACCCGTGTGTCTCCTCTTCCTCCCTCTCTCTGTTTTTTTCCCCCCCCCCCTCTTTTTTTTTTTTTTTTTTTTTTTTTTTTTTTTTTGTTTTTCCTTCTTTTTTTTTTTTTTTTTTTTTCTTTTTTTTTTTTTTTTTTTTTTTTTTTTTTTTTTTTTTTTTTCCTCCCCCCTTTTTTTTTTTTTTTTTTTCCCCTCTTGTTGTTGTTTGTGTTTTTTTTTGTTTGTTTTTCTTCCCCCCCCCCCCCCCTCCTTTTTTTTTTTTTTTTTTTTTTTTGTTTTTTTTTTTTTTTTTTTTTTTTTTTTTTTTTTTTTTTTTTCTTTTTTTTTTGGGGTTTCCTGCTCCCCCCCCCCCCATCACTTTGAACGATTTGCGAGATACAAATTTTTTCGTAAACTACTACGGCGGTAATTTTTTGCAAAAAAATCGACATATGTCAAAAACTGTAATAGATAAGTTAGCATAACTTAGGTTGTCTAAATTCAGAATTAGAAGGCCAATCGAGCCATGTGAAAAAATATGTAGGTTTCTGTTTAAAATAAGAAAGTTGACACCGACTTTTGACCCACCCTGTGTAGCTGAAGGACTAAAAATATATGGGTAGAACGGATATGATCGATTATGACAGTACACCAAATTTCAAGTTTCTAATCCAACTGTAAGTTGAAAAACTTCTAATGCACGGCCTACGTAAATCATCATGTATATACATATTTTTTTTTTATTTTTTTTTTTTTTTTAGGAAGGCACAGATATTTCGTTTCATTTTGTTCCTCGGTTCTGAAACAATCTTTCAGAGGTGGGGGAATGTACTGAGTGCCGCGAGCGAGAGAGATATTTAGGAGTACTCTACTAAACGCGAGCACCTGTTCTATGTCCATTCACACACAGCTGATTTTTGACAGATAGCTGGTAGTAGGTGTTTGTTAAACCTATAATTGCTTAAATTAATAGTATGGATTAAGGTAGATGATATTGTTGGTGAAAACAACGTTAAGGATAAACGCTTGTAAATATGGTTCTTATTATCCTGTTTCCATTCTCCCCGTACTTTACTTCTGAAACCCAAAAACTTAGAAGAGCCAGCAATCGGTAAGTTAATTATTGTTATCATCACATCACTTTTAGAGGGAACCTTTCCCACCCACACATTTTAGAATTTTAGATCATTTTTACTGCTATGAACCTTGTTAGCGACCTAGTCCGGTTTTTTTAGTATTTGCAAGTACAGTTCACTTAAATAGTAAACGGATGCCAAAACGAAAACCCTCGAGAAAATTAATGAAAAACTCCACGATCCTCCTTTGGACGATGTAGATAAAGATAAAGGGTACAATGTTAGCACTAGCCATAATAAATATCATTAGAATAAATTAAAACCATCTAGAATAACGAAACCCCTTATAGTCTCAGGTGACTCTGACTAAAATTACCAGATGGCTGACGTCCCTTTTAATATTTGCGATATATGGACAGATGGGCACTACTTTCACAAAAATGCAAAACTCTATGCTACCACTATCTCTAGGCAAAGCTTAAATAACTACACAAAAATATACATTCTTTTAATATGTAGACATTTCTAAATTTAACGAATCAATAAAAAACGTGAATTTGATTATTAATTAAATTCGAAAACAACATGAAATTATATTTACAGATCCAATGTACCAATATTTTACGAACCTTTAGTTAATAATTCATTAATGCTAATATCAAACAAAATAGATAATCTGAAACCGCGTAGATTTAAAAGACGATTCATTAATCTCGTAGGTAAAGATTATAAATAAATAATAAATCAACAAATAATACAGCATGATCTAAGAAATGAGATATCTGTCACAAAGTACTTCGTATCAGAAGTTAATTTAATGAATAAAAGAATAAACAATCAAACATGTTGCCAATATTGCAAAAGTAATACACAATTCAAAACGAACTTTTGATATTTTAGAAAGTTTAAATCTTCTCAATGCTAATTGAAGAGACATCCTGCATCTTCTAGATATAAGAGAATTCAATATTATTTGCTAAATGACACACTTTACACAGTTCAATTTTACTTGTAATATAATTTGATTTAATAATAATTAAAAAAATAAGTCAAATTTGTGACAAAGGATCCTTACTGCACTTCAATAATGTGCACATTATTGAAGTGTGGTATGGATCCTTATTAATCACTTTGCAGTATTGAATTTTCCCAAAAAGGTAAATAAATTAATGTTTAGAATACATTAAATTTTACGATTACTTGCGATTGATTTTCATTCCACTTAACTCCCAAATACTAATACCGAAAAAAATCATCGCAGTTCCAAATAAAAAAAAAATAATTAGTCAAAAATGCCACAAATGGATACACAAAACGACATTACCTGAAGTAATCAGCATTAGGTATATAAATACACAAAATATATTTATATAATACCGCACTAATTAAGCTCGTTGCCAAACGGACTTTTATTTTAAAAAACAATATATGAAGTTACATTTTTCTAAGCACGTTCACAGTTACATAGATTCGAAGTAATAGAACTAAAATATAAAGTGCAAAAGTTTATTCACATTCTAGACCGATTAATCAGAGAATTCTTTTTTTGGTTGTCCGTAGGTTAAGTAATGATGAATCTTGAGTAGAAGTCTTTTTATAAAATTCAAATATCTCCTTCATGGTAGCTGAGTGGGTAAAGCGCCTGTTGCTATTTACTTTATACAGAAAATCGATGGTTGAATTCCATTCTGGAGCAAATTAGAAATTTTATTTGTAATTTGTTTGGGACTAAGATAAGAGACGGAATTGTCGATGCCTTAGATGTGGTTCGGACTTCACAATAAACTGTAGGGCCTCGTCTCTCTCTCTCTCCGTAACACAAAATTCTAGGATTTTCCGGAAGTTACTTCGATGACTTGAGAGTGTCGCAATTACAAAAGGGATTTGTTTGTGTTTTTGGAATGCTTGTTGGTCGCTGGGTTATTTATTTTTATTAAGTTGGGCGCCACGTGACTACTTGTCACGTGGCGTCCAATAATTTTGTTTCGTTGCCTTGCTCTATGATCGAAGGAATGGAATTTTCTCAAGGTCGATTTCTATTGTGTTGAGAGGCAAAGTAGCCTATTCTTGACCTCTTAGAATTTTTATTTGCCTTTAGGCTTCGCTAATAATGTTCGTGGAGAACAGGAAAGAGTTTTTAAAAAAGATTTTGAAACGAACAGACATAGTTTATTTCACTTTTTTCTATTTATATTAAATGAAGTAACTAGTTCGAAACCGTAAACGCATCTAAACAATAAAGCAAATGATACCTAATACAACTAACAGGAAAATGATATACCATATTCAGATAAGGAGAATGAGTTGCCTGCAAAACTCCTCCATTGCTAAGATTCGGTAGTATTATTTTCTGAATTTTTATTGTGGTTATTTTCTATTTTATTTTCACCTTCCTGTTTTTGTGTGTTTTAGAATATATAGAAATGTATGTTTATATTTGAAGAGGATTTTATAAACAATGAATATAATAATTGCGGTAATAAGCATTACACAAATATACAGGGTGATGTGGGAAGTGCTGTCATCTTCGACAGCTTGTAGTCAATGAAGCTGAGTTCTTTCGGCTAGTTTTTGTAGTCTGGTAAGACCATCTAGTCCAATCTTGTCTGGAACTTTCAGGAGATTGCTTTTAGTGTTGGACTACGCGGCTCCTATCTGGAGCAGCTCTAATGAAGTTTCTCGGACATTCGGGATGTCGTTGTTGTACATATGGTTATTTATTATTACGATACAATTATATGGTATTTGGATTAACTGTGATTTGTTAATCTCTTTATATCAGTATTCGTTACACTTCTTCCCAATTGTAGTTGCTCACAAAATGTAGTCCTTATAAAGGGCATACATTAATTTGGTTAATTCGCTCAATTCTGATAATGACAAAATTAGGCATGTCATTTAATTCGGCAAACAATATTGAGCTTACGATATTATTCAACATTGATAACATATTTTGGCAATCAATAATCATTGTATCTAGAGAATTTTGGAGCCTCAAAAATAAAGTAAACTTATTTATATTGTTTACTATATTTTGAATTTGATCGGTCATTAATTCTTGATTACGAACAATTATTTCTAGAACGTTTGAAATTTCATTCATAAGCTTTTTTGTTATAGTTAGATAATATTCTAAGTCATGGTGTAATAGATTTTGATTATTTGTTAACGTGGAGATAGCCTTATTATATCTGTCTTTGTCTTTGTCCTTGATACTGCCAAGGAGCCATTTGTTTACCCTTCCTATTATATTTAAAAGAGCTCGTTTTTGGCGCAAATGTCTTTTAGGTTTTAGATTGTTTAGTTTTAAATTCGTTTGATTTGATAAATATATTAAATGGTCATATGTACGATGTAATTGTGGATATAGATCGCCTTTGACAGAAATTTGGTCGCTGATAATTTCGATATTACGTTTTATGTTATACAGGGGTTTGTCTAATTCTTTTAAGTCACTGTATTTGACAAAAGTATGTTTTTGGGTGGTAATTTTAGCTTTGCCGAGGGAAAAAGAAGAATGGGATTAGTTATTTCGGTCATATTAATTTGTTGTCCTGTCCCTATTGTCAGGATTGTAAGAAGTACTCGGTACAGCGTTGTCATCTGAATCAACAATTGTTTGTTTAATAGTTTTTCGTTGTGGCTTTAGATTACTTTTGCGATAAGTGGTTTTTTGTGTTTTAATTTTATTTTCAATCTTTTTGAGGTTGCTTTATTATAAAGGGGTGATAATTTATTTCGGGGTCTATCCTTTAAGAATACGTTTTCATAGAGATTTGTTTCCGAGGGATCCTTTCTATTTGAATTTACTTTGGTTAAATCTTTATATTTTTCATTATTTTCTTTAATAATTTAATTTAATACCCTAAGATTTCTAGTGCGTTTTTCCATATAATCTGATGTTAATTTCTCTAGTTAAATCGAATGGGTTTTCATAACTTATATTTCCTTTTATGATTTGAAGTGGCGTAAATTTTGTTGCGGAATGAATCGTGTTCTTATATCCCAAAATAGCGTATAATATTTACGTGGTGATTGATCGATTCGGTGTTTCTTGTTTTAGAACTCTAAGTTCTTCTACTAAGGTGGAGTGAAACCTATTACTGTTTGGATTGCGAGGTGTAATATAATGTGACGTAATTTTGTGTTTCGCAAAAATTTTCGACTAGGTTATTTTTAAATTTGGGTCCTGAGTCATACGTTATTTTGTTCGGGATGCCGTAATGGGACATAAATTGTGACAGTTCATATAAGATACTAATAGCCGATAGATGTACGCTTGGGCGAAACGAGAAAAACTGTCTATGATTGTCAAAAATTTGGTTTTGTCTACTGAAAATATATCAATATAAACGTGTTCGAAGGGGTACTCACCTTAGGAATAGGTTTAAATTTTACTGTATTAGGGAGACGTTCATATTTGGATTTTTGACACAGAATACAGGTGTTTACATAATTTATTACATCTTGATTCATATTTGGCCAATAGTAAGTTTTAGACGAAGATTGTTTCATTTCATTTAACCTCTATGTGTGGTTATTGTTTCATGATGGTATTTTATTTTGTCAAGTTGTTCATTATTATTTTTTGTCTTTTAAAAGAAGGTTACTTTGAACTAATATAAATGCTGAATGTTAAAAATGTTTTTGAATTGTGGAAAAGTGGTTGCCACATCTTGCTGGAATATTATTCCGTAAACAGTTTTTGGTTTTAAATATTCTTTTAAAACTGTTACGAAGTATGATTTTAGATTTCCAGTTGGAATAGTCATTTTTAGACAGGTTTTATCAAAAATTCTATATGTATTTACTCGCTGTGTTAGAGCGTCATTACTAATAAAAATAACTATTTGTTGTTTGAATTTATTTAACGGTTATTCAGAGAAGAGAATTTCCAAAATTGGACCTACCTGAGAAGAATGTTGTGTTTCGTTAGTGTCCTGTATTTCCGGTTGTGCAACAGGTATATTTATGTCTGAAATTATATTTACTTTATTTTGGTTATCTAATGGAGTACTCGGGACTGTTCCATTTGGTAACATATCTTCTAGATCTCGTAAGTCCTCGGAACTCTTTTCGGGTAGTTCCTGTACATTTGTAATTCAGGTGAATATTCCAGGAAAATCTTCTTGTAGTCTGAGATCTTCAAGTGGGTCCGCGTTAGCAATCATAGATTGGGATTCTAATGGGTGAATTTCAATTCTCGATAGAACGTCGGCTATTTTGTTTTCTTTTCCCTTTCTGTATACGATAATATAATCTTATTCTTCTAGTTTAAGGCGCCAACGTACCAAACGGGAGTTCAGCTCTTTAAGAGTATATAGCCATTGTCGGGGCTTGTGATCGGTAACATTGGTGAACTTTCTACCGAATAAATAAGAGCGAAAATACCTTGTAAAATTTACTGTAGCTAACAATTTTTTCTCTATAACTGAACAATTTTGTTCGGCCGGGTCAAAGTTCGTCAAGCGTACGCAATTGGCTTATCTTTACCTATTACGCCGCGATAATACCACGCCTACTGCTATGTTCGAGGCGTTGGTTGTTAGGATAATTGTCTTTGTGAAATCCGGGTACTGAAGGATCGGTTCGTTTGGCAAAATTTGTTTATATTTTTCGAAGGCTTCGAAAAATTCGGAAATGTGAATAATTTTTTTTTCTTTTTTTAAACATTTTGTTAATTTGGCAAATTCTTTTATGAACCTGCCATAATAGCCGAGTAAGCCAAGAAACGATTTAATTTCCCTGGCGGTTGTAGGTAGCAGAACATTTTTAATAGCTCTTATTTTGTTCAGATTAGGTTTTATCCCATTAGGCGTAATGACGTCCTAAAAATTCTACGTCCCGTTTTACAAATTCCGATTTATTGAGCTGGATTTTTAATTTAGACTCTTGTAATTTTTGGAATACTTGTGTGAGATTTGAAATATGTTCTTATTGAGAGGTCGAAAATATTATGATGTCCATGTAGACCAAGCATTACTTATTTTATAGGCCTTTCAACACATGGTCCATCAGTCGCTGAAAAGTTGCAGGCGCATTTTTCAGGCCGAAGAGCATGCGAAGATATTTGTAGTGGCTATACTCTACGTTAAAGGTAGTTTTCTCAATCGATTTTTCGTCCATCTCGATTTGATGGAAACCTGATGCGAGGTCCAAGGTGGTGAAATAATTGCACATTCCTAATTTGTCGAGAATGTCGTCGATGTTGGGTATCAGGTAACGGTCTTCTGCAGTCTTCTCATTGAGTTTTGTATAGTCGATGACTATTCGCCATTTCTTGTTTCCTGCGGCGTAGGCCTTTTTCGGGACCATTCATATTAGACTGGACTAAGGTGATGACGATGGTCTAATAATAACTTCATCCAGCATCTTGTCGATCTGACGTTTGACTTCTTCCTTGTGACGGTGAGGGAAGCGGTACGACTTGATATGAATGGGTATTTCGTCCGTTGTTTTTACTTCATGTTTTATTTGGTTAGTGAAAGCGAGTTGCGAATTTTCGTTATGAAAAATATCTGAGAAATCATCACAAAGTTTTAGAATAGCTTGCTTTTCCTCCGAGTTCATGTGATCGGTACGAATTTTATTATTTAATTCACTAGTAAATTATATACCATTTGATATGTAAGTTAAGTCGTTCGGTAATGCGCTTTCAATATTAAATAATTCAAAATATTCAGTGTTTATAAGCTGTGCTAGAAA